CTTTGCCTCGACACCATTATGGTGCCAGAGACTGCATTCACTGCAATCAGTGCAGCACCTGCAAGTCCAGCTAGATGTAAAGTTGTTGAATCTATTTGAAGAGGTTTGTTGGAGTGATGAACAAGTGACGTGTAGGACTGGAGAAGTGCAGATTCAGTGATACAGTGTTCATATTCCATTTAAATGCCAAACCATGTAACCCAGAAGTGGTATAGGTATGGTGAAATTCCACACCCATTATATAGTGACTGCCCTTATTACATTGACTTCAACAATGCATGAGGATTCTTTTTCTCTGGCTTCCTCCTTAGCAGTTGTTTCTATTTGAGTTTTTGAGAAGCGCCATTCTGATTGGGATGAAATGGAATCAGTACAATTTGTGTTTGCATTTCTCTGATGGCCAAGGAGGTGTAACTGAGTGGGAGTATTTCTAGGTCCTTGGTTCTATTTCAAAGGTATATATATTTTATGTCAGTACTGTGCTGTTTTGTTACTGTGGTTCTGTAGTGTAATTTGAAACAGGCATTTGACCTCATCATTGATAATTTTGTTTAGGATTTCTTTGGCAATATGGGGGATTTTTTTCCCTTCCATATAAATTTTGATATTAGACATACGTTATTTAGAAAACTCATTTTTTTCACATCTTCACTTACTGTTTTTACACTGAAGAAAAATTTACCAGTCATGCCATTTAGAAAGTCTGTGGGAAAATAAAACTCTTTCTGAGGAAGTAACTTCTATGGATTTTCTGTACAATCTTAGAATTGAAAATTTTCCTTTTTTTTTCTAATTAATGATTTCTGTTTCCCTCTGGAGATACACTGTTGTAATGCACTCTTATTTCAAATAGAAAAAGCAGTTGTATTCATCTTTGAGTTCAGTGTCTAGAGTCTGACAAACTGTATCAGTTTCCAATAGAGTTTGAATCCGGTGATGAGAAAACAGTCCCTTCACAGACCCCCAAAGCCAAGATGGTTAGTACATGTTGGACTGCTGTGTTTCTCTTGAAAGAAAGAACCTGGAAGTTGGGGTTTTTCCCTCAGTACAAACTCTAAGTTGTAGCGAGGCAGATACTAAATCACAAATTCTCCTAGAATTCTGTATATGCTTAAATTTCTATGGTGGAATTTTTTCAAGTCCTACTTGTCTTAGTTGTTGCTGTTAGGACAGTATCTTCATGGAGAAAAGAGGGCCAAAGTATAACTATTGTCCAACTTGGTCTAAGAGCATAATTTTTTTTCAGAAGTACCACTTTGTGGATATAGACCTTAAATCTATGACATATTAGAATAAATGAAATATTAAGATGCATAGAAAGTCCAGATAACTTAAGTAAATACCGAAATTCAGTATTTGAAAATTCAGGTAAACCAAGCAGTAGAAAATATCACCAAACACACAATCACAATGAAGTTAGCAATAGATTGAAAGGAAGGATAGATATCAAACTTCTAATAATGTATTAAAAGAACCTTAACATAACTAAAGTGACTAAGTAAGAAAGTAATCCCCAACACAAATTTGAATGAATTTGTACTTTTAAAATTAAAGATTTACTGTGATGAGGCACTGGTAAGGACACCTGCTGCCAAACCTGATATCCTGAGTTCTCTTCATGGGTCCCATGTCTTGGAAGGAATGCAAGGTTGGTGGCTGTTGAAAAATCACCCCATTATAGACTAAATCTGTGTCCATCTCCCCCAAAATTTACATTGTAAAATGAAAACTCCAGTGTCATATTTGGGATTGGGAATTTTAGAAAACAATCAGATTATGAAACTGGGGTCCTCATGAATGTGATCAGTGCCTTCAGGAAGTGAAAACCTTACCATTTATGTGAGAAAATGAGGTGCTGTCAGTGTGCAAACCACAAGAGTACCTTCACCAGAACAGAATTTGATTACCTCAGTTATTATATGTTCAGATTTGGGAGCTGTGTGAAATAAATTCTGTCGTTAAGAGTCACAGTCTCTTATACCTACTTAGGGCATCTCAAACTGATTATGGAATATCTCTTAGCTTTGGTGTCCCTGCACCCTGCTCCTAAAGTACTAATCTGTTTCCATAAACTGTACAGCAATTTAAAGCATAAAACTCATTAACAGGTGAATGATGACCACTATTTCCAATCTGTTCTGTAGTATGTTTAAGCCACTGTTGGGCTGCAAAGAAAACACTCTTCTAAGAGCTGATCACACTCTAAATGCTTCAATAAAGGGCTTAGCTCAAAACTTTCAGCTGATATTTTAGCTTTCCACATATTCAAATGTGTTTGTTAAGTATTTTTAACACAAAAAAGATACTTATACACTGGGAAAGAATTCAAAATATCTGACAGCTAAGAAAAATTTAAAAAAAACATATCAATAATAGTAACCAAACCATGAATTGAGGAATTACTAAATTGAACATATCCAAGACATTCTCTTTTTTAACAGCACTCCCAACTTCTGAGTTCAAAATGATACAGCTAAAATAACATAAAGATAGAAATTAAAACAAATACATCAAAAGTATTTGTTTATAATAAGTTAGTGCATTAAATTCTAGATTTTTTTCAAATACACTGCAAATTCTATAAGAATTGTGTTTATTCTTTTGAATATTCTTTAAAAATTTTTTAAATAGATTTTTTTGTGTATTTCATAGAGAACATCTCAATCAATCTTAATCATCTTTGTACCCCCTTCCCCACTGGCACCCTCTCATAGCCCCCCACTGGAATTCATAGATTCTGACATTTCTGTTAAGGCCTTTTGTGTCAAGGTAATGTCCCCAGACGTTCCTCAGTGGAAGTTCATCTACTGAGGCCTAGTCAGCCTATCTAGAGTTCCTCACTTTAGGAAGATCAGCTCTTCCTCACCCAGCAGCAATCAGTTTCCTGATCTTGTCAATATTTTTAACTTTATTGCCTACAGTGTGTGTATACTTGCTCCTTTGAGAAATTATGTTTTAGAGTTGTGATTTTAGATGATTTAGGCTAATATTTCTTAGCAACTTCTCTTATTGGATTAAAACTGTTACTACTTCTCCAGTTTTGCAATTTAGAATTTCCCACAAGTCACACTGCACTCAAATAGTGAAGAGAGGGGGATTGGTTAGACAAAACTATGTTCCTCTCTGGAATCTCTAGTGGAAGATCCATTTATTCTCTCTTCCAGGTCCTAGAGGCTGAACATTTTTATAAATGTGGACAAAATTCCTTCTTCAATATTGACAATTTTTCATAGACATTTATTTCTCAGTTTCCCTGACCTAAATCTTAATAATTTCTGAGTTTGAAAGGTTGTAATTTTACTGCGAACACTATAATAACCTACCAGTTCAAATATATTATCTTACTCACTTATGAAAGGTGTTTTTGAGGTGTAAAGGAGTATACTCAAGAGTTCTCAAATAGTTTGAGGAGGACAGTTTTCTTACATCTTTCAAAGTCTGTAATATGCTTCTGAGGTTAGAATTCCACAGACACACTTTAAGTAACAAATACCCAGATCAGGGAAGTTCTGAGATAATTATGGCTGACTCAAGAGTATGAACTTATAAAACCATTTCTAGAACCTTTAAATCAATGATTTATCTAAACCATGATATTTAACTCTTTATGTACCATACACACGCACACACACACACACACACACACATATATATATATATATTAAGAAATACAGAAAAAATCTGTTAATGCAAAACATTTCATGTGTGTAGAAAGGTTTATCTATATACTTACTGCTTTTCCCCCTATAAAGCTCAAGAATCAACAGCTATTTAATTGTACATAAAGCCCCCTAAATGGGAATGAACTAATGGGTAACACTTTAAACTCAGCCAAAGACACAAGGCAGGAGACAACATAGGTCCTAGAGAAAACCCTATCTATTTGTTATCTCTAGACAATTGCAAAACCTTCCTAAATGTTAAAAATCAATCTTTATATTTACAAATTTGCATACCATACACCACTCATCAAAGAAGCTTCTTTTTACAACAGATGGAGGCTACCACAGAATTCCACTACTGCTCAGACACAGAGAATATTTGTCTGAGAAATGCCCAGTACTAGGTGGAACATCTGCAGTTGAACCTCTACAACTAAGACTCATGGAACATAGGGGAACAAGAGGTAGAGAGGAAACTAATGCATCCATCAACTCTCACCAGTAAAGCTTCCTTACACAACAGAGTATAATGCACATAGAAGGTTACAACTGGCCAAGTTTTAAAGAATAACAGACTGCAGAGTGTATATCATTGGGTAGGACTCCTATATTGAACTTCAACCACCCACAGATCAGGGACCATTGTGGAAGAGGGGGAGGAGAGGTTGTAAGAATCAGGACTGGTTCATAAAGACAGGGAAGCAGAGGCTTTCAGGTCACTGGAAGCTTGCACATATGATCTTGTAGCAATGGTAGCACTGAACAGAGGACCCATGCCAACCCAGAGGGGAGAAGAGAAATGAGTAGCAGGTGGCCCTAGACTGAGAACTATTGGTGACTGATTGCTACTGGGTGAGGGAAAACATGCCTGAAATATGATCTCTAGATGGGCTGACTAGAGTCCAGTGAGCAAATTTACACTGAAGGACCTGTGGATGCAAATGCTTGGCTGGATAGGACTTAAGACAAGTATGGTGAAATACATGAGGTCCAGTGAAGGAATGGGGGAGGCATGAATGAAGTAGGGATTTCTAAATTTGATTAAGAACTATCATATGAAATTACAAAATGTCAATTAAAAAACTCATAATGATCTAGTTTCCATAAAAAGTTCCAGAGAGCAGCTTTGATGTCCTTATTCCTCAGGCTGTATGTTAATGGAGGCATCACAGAATAGAAAACAGTCATCAAATAGTCCAAAAGTTGTGGGGAATCAGGAACTGGTTTCAAATAGACAGTGACAGCTGTGACTAAAAATGTTGTGACGACTATGAGATGGCCTCCCTTGTGACAAGAGCATTCGCAGCACTGTGTTCAAAATATAAACATATGAAAACCCTATGGACACTGAACAGAGAAATCTATACAGGATTCCATGATGACACTTATGTCCATGGTAGCATGCATCATTGAGCAGAAAATCTTCAGTAGAGAGTCGACATCACAGATGAACTGTGTCAATGTTCTGGATCTACAGAACGATAAAGAGAAGGTGCCATATGAATATAGGAACTCAAAGACAATTCCAAATAGCCAAGAGGCAGCTAGCATCTGCATACAGACTTCCCTGTCTATGATGGCATTATAGTGTAGTGGGCCACAGATGGCCGCATAATGGTCATAGGACATGTCTGTGAGGATGAAAATTTCAGATGCAGCAAAGGAAACAACGAAGAAGATTTGACACATACAACCTGGGAAAGAGAGAGTGTGACTGTGAGACAAAGAGCTAAGAATGAGCTTTGGGACTATGACTAAAATGAAGCACACATCAAGGAAGGACAAGCTCTTCAGGAAGAAGTACGTGGGGGTGTGAAGGCACTGGTCAACAGTGACAAGCATGATGATGAGAAGGTTCCCCATGAGGGACACCAAATAAATCAGCAAAAACAGAAAGACCTGGAGTACCTGGAGCTGCTTGCCGCGGGGAAATTCCATGAGGAAGAAATCTGTGTCCACAGTGTGGTTGGCCATGTTGTTTGCTGTTTACCTACTGTGAGACAAAGGAAGGAAAAGACAAATGTGGAGCTCTTGCTGATACTACATTAGTAATAATGCATTTATTTGTGTAAGATGCAACTACTATGTTATTCCTATAAAACATGAACATTTTTACTCTCCTAAATACATTTATGGTCTTCATGAACTTCTCAATATGTTTATTTCAAAATGTATTACAATGATAGTAACAGGGTAGGAGGCTTAGAGAGAAAATGTCGGACTATTTTAGTGGATTTAACATATATGCGTATATGTATATATACATATGCAAGATATTCCATAAATTTAAGTGGAATTAACATATATTTTTGCAAGCTCTTCATAAAATGTATCCTGAATTCTTTATAAATACTTGGAAAACAGTGAATTTGAAAGGATAATACAATTTGAACCATGTTCTAATAGGTCATATTTCCAACATTAAGCTACAGGGTATAAAATACTTAATTTTCTTATATGCATTATACACATGCACAAAATTGGTTGGGGATGTATGTCAGTGGTAGTGTGCTTGCCCTGAAGTCTCAGAGCTCTTACTTTAATCCACAATACTTCAAAAATAAGCCAAATGACACAAAACATTAAAAAAACTATAATTCTATGGTTATATAATTATAGTGAGAAATATAGCAACAATTCTTCAATGAGAGAAGCATATATTTAGAGAGAAATATTATCCACTCCTAACACCATTTTCTCTTCCTCTCCCCCTCTCTCTCTCTCTTTCTCTCTCTCTCTCTCTCTCTCCCTTTCCCTTGCTCTCTCTCTCCCATTGACAAATGGGCAGACTAATATCATCTCATTCACAAATGATATTTATTCTATTATAACATTCAGATGGTAGCAAATGTTAACAAAGAGTAGTTGCTAAATAAATTAACTCTAAAAGTAGATGAGATCAATGGTGAATAATATCACTGGGTAGGAATTAAACCTTCAGTGAGGACAAGTATTGTGTTGTGTGAGGAAAAACTAATGCAGGAAATATTCTGTGGAAGATACATGATAAATTTAATGGAATTGTAAAATATAAAACTTTCATAATAAACTAGGTATTTAGCTGTCCCAATTATTTTCTAAAACCAACATGTTCACTAATTACCCCAACTAAGTACTTTCCAACTTTTTGCATAAAGGACAAAATTTAATGCCGGTTTTATATAAGACAGCAGATTTTTTTGAATTCCAGATTTAAAAGGTGGCACACATAATAAATCTAGGAAACGACATTTGCAAAGCAAACCACAGAATTCACCAGGCAACTGATGGTGTATTGATTGTCTCATGTGAAGGCTATAGCAAGTAGATGTTTCTGACAAGTGATCTATCTTCAACAGGAATACAGTGTGAGATGGAGGGGAGAGTTTGCCTCTTCAGGCTGTTCAGAGTGAGCATGAGACATGAGACTCAGAGCTATGGAGGGAGAGGACCTGCCCTGACAGTGCCATAGCCTGTGAGCTTTTTTCTTCCCCAGCAGACTCTGAAGGAAGCCCTGCTCATTACTGCATTCTTCATCATGCTCTCACTGAGTTTGTCTGGGGGAAGTATTTCTTCCCCTAGATATTAATCTTTGTGGTGTTTAAAAATCCAAATAATTTTCTGAAAGGACACATTTTTCTAATATGTCCTCCAAAGACTTATTAATGATAAGTTTTATAAATCCTAAGAAATAACTGCAATTGGGGACTGGAGACATGGCTCAGTGGTTAAGAGCATGGACTGCACTTGCAGAGGACTTGGGCGTGCTTCCCAGCACACACAGGCAACAAACCACCTTCCCAAACTCCAGTTACAGGGTGTCTGCTGTCCTCTTCTCACCTCTGTGGGTATGGCAGGCACGTAGTGCTCTTACGTGCATGCAGACAAAATACTCATATACATAAAATAAATATTAATCAAAAAATTTAAAACAAGAAAAAATACAACTGAAATGGGAGTCAGGATTGTATGATCTATCTCTATCTCTATCTCTATCTATCAATCTATAATCTATCTATCTTCTATCAACATCTATCTATCATCTATCATCTTTCTATCATCTATCTATCTATCTATCATCTATTTATCTACCATCTATCTATCTATGTATCTATCATCTATCTACATATCTATCATCATCTATCTATCATCTATCTATCTATCTATTATCTATCTATCTATCTTCTATCTATCTATCTATCGATCTATCATCTATCTATCTATCTATCTATCTATCTATCTATCATCCGATCCATCGATCCATCTATCTATCCTATCATCTATCCATCCTATCATCTATCTATCTATCTATCTATCTATCATCTATCTATCTATCTATCTTTCCATCTACCTATCTATTTATCTACATAACCATCTCTCTCTCGGTCTCCATATTTGAAATCTTGGTGATCAAACCCAGCATTCTACAATGCTAGGCAAGCACAGTTCTACAGAGCCACATCACACTCAACTGTGGGGTTTAATGGTGGTAAGGAGACAGGCTGCGAAAACAAATCAATAAAAAACCAAAAATTTGAAGATGTGTTTTTCTATAACGTACAAAATTTTATGTATTTTCTCTTACCCACTTGCTCCTTAAATGTATACCTTGAATTTTGTTGCTAAAAATAAACTTCTGTCTCTCAGATAGTCTTACATCTTTATGCTCATAAGAGCACTGATGCAATTCTGTTTGTAGAATCCACTCTCCTGAATGACTTGGATACTGTGCTTCAGCCCTGTTTGGACCCCACAACAATCCTTTCAGCTTAGCACTGCTCTTGCTACCATATAGTGTATGTTGAGCCAAGTCCAGAAAGCTTAAAATTGATTCATCTGCACACACATGAACAATGGGAGAAGATGCCTTTCAGTTATCTGTATTTGCCCTTAGTATCTTTATTGTTCTATATGAAAGATGGCTGATGATTCATTGTTGATTTTTAATCAAATTTTTACTGATGGGGATATTAGGTGAACTTTTATTTTCTCTCTTTAAAATACCATTAAACATAACTCTAGGAGTGGATTAAAACATGGTATGCTGGGTGTGGTGGTGCACACGTTTATTCCCAGCACTCAGGAGGCAGAAGAAGGTGAATCTCTGTGAGTTCAAGTCCAGCCTGGTCTAAATAGTGAGTTCCAAGACAGCTGGGGCTACAGAGAGACCCCGTCTCAAAAAGACCAAAAAGAAAACAACAACAACAACAACAACAAAATGTATAGTATGTAGATATTGGGTGGGTGTTAGATGACTTTTTATTTTCTTTCTTTGAAATATCATTAAACACAACTCTAGGAGTGGATTAAAACTTGGTATGTAGATATATTGTTACTGTAAATCTCAGTAATCACCATTTAACAATCATACTACAGAATACTGGATCAGAATAATAATTACAAACATATCAGAACTTTGAACTCTTCCAGTGTGACTTCCAGGAATCACCTGAAGCAGACAGATGTGAAAAAGCTCCCAATACATGGGTGTAAGGAATCTTTCTCTTCTGGGGGAATAATGATAAACAGTCTTACTCAGGTGTGACCCCTGTGAATTGTAGTACTGATCATAGTGGCAAGATATGGCCATGGGTGAAATACTGGCTCCAGTGTTATGAGGATAACCAATTACTTTCTAATTAGGCTGAATGCCCATACCACTTAAGGGAACACATGCCTTGGGGAGCTCACAATGGTGAACCTAATGCTATTATTCTGCTAAAAGGACAAATTGCTCTATAAATTTGTATCTTTTTTCTTTTTTTGGTATTTTTGATTCAAAATCTTCCTGTAGCCCCAACTAGCATTGAACTTCTTATGTATACCATGCTTGCTATGATCTCACAGAGATCTGCTTGTCTCTGCCTCCTAAGTGCTAGGATTAAAGGTATGCTTCTTTCTACCCAGAGATTAGTCAAGCTCTTGGATCTCATAAGAGAAGTTACAGTGATTAATGCTGAAACTCACAACTGGACAAATTACAGAGAATCAGTGTCAATGGAGGGTACAGCCAACAAATGGAACAGCCATATCATGCCCTCTCTCAAAGGCTTGTTTGTTTGCTTGCACAAGATCAAACTAGTCAGCATTCCAACATGGAGTGGGGCGATGTTCATGAACTCATACCCTTAACTGAGGAGTTATGGACAGTTGATGCCTTATGGAGAAAAGAGAGTCAGATTTTCAGGGATGTGGTTTCTGGAAGGTCAACCATGCTCCAGTTGATGATCCCAAACCCAGCAGTATATGGACATCAAAAATAGGAGTCTGTAGCTTATTTTTCAAGGACATGATGAAGTTGTGGGAATGAGTAGGTGGGGCTGGGAGGAGTTAGGTACAAAAGTTAGGAGTGAAGGTGATCGAAATACACTGCATGGAATCTCAAATAATTAAAAATTTAAAATAAGATGTATTCCTTTAGATACAAATGTCTATGAATCTGATTTTTATCATTTTCTATTGTATAATTTAATCAAAATATCACACTGCAACCTGTATATCTGAAATATGCTATATAATTTTAATATTTATGTCTGGAATTCAGGTGAACACCTCAAAGGAAACTCAGAGTTTGCATAATCACCTTTTTCCTGAAAGCTCTTACATATAAATTATACTTCTCTGCATTTACCTGGTTGTACACCACCCTCTCCACTTTCATGTCTAAAATCTTATGAAGCCCCAGAATTCACACTTACTTGGAAGGATTCAAAATTACATTTTTTATTTTACTTCTCAACCCCTCTGGTACCCATGGTGTGAGAGAGAAACTAAGTGACTTTGAATTTATCTAAAGTGCTCATCCTTTTAATGAGGCAAATGCAATTTTCAATGGTGATGCTCCACCCCTCAGGGAAAGTAATGGATTGTAAAGAAACACAATTGTCATGGGGCTGTGACTGCAGTCCTTCATGAAGGATGATTCACCCAAGATATTAGTGGTGTGCATCATTGCCCCACGCCACCTTCACACCTTGCCCTTATGCTGTGGCTCT